AGAGAGAGAGAGAGAGAGAGAGAGAGAGAGAGAAGAGAGACCAGGACTAAAAAACTTGATTGTTATATATATAGGAGAACATAATAAATAATACTGGCCTAGCACAAGAGAGTTAATTAACAAAGGAGTGTGATTTGGTTACCTCTCTAGCATGTCACTTTTGTGACTGTGGACTACTAAAGAAAAGCATAAATAAATTATAACACACCTTATCTTCATCTCCTTCACACACAATATCTCGAATCTGCATCAGACAGTTGTTGATTCTTGCTCTCCGTTTCTTTTCTGCAAGCAGTTTTTTACCCTGTAAAACAATCAAATAAAATCTGCTTTTAAAAAGTGGAGAAATCATTTTAACAACAAAACTAAGTAGCTTGTTTTGTGAATCAAAATGTTATATATGAAGGTTTCAGACAGGCTCTATACAAAGAGTAGGTATACCTTAATAAATGTTTTTGTCAATAAAAAAAATTAACGATGACTTAAACACAGAGTATGAGTGTTTTATCTTGCTGAGACTGTACTAGCTTTAAACCATCCTCAACATTTTTTTTCTACTAGGATTATAATAACATTTCACTACCACCATAAACCTTTAGAAAATTTAGCCTACATTAAATCATGAAAAGAGAATAGAAATTTAATAAAAATCTAAACTAGGACTTGCACCTAACTATGTTGTAAAATGAACATATAATAACATCATTCTATGCATGACAGCTGAACTATTGTAATAGGCCTACATGAATTATACACATACTATACAAACAACATCATACACTGTATAACAGGTTTCTTAATTTTAACTTTTATGATGAGATATCAGTGAACTAATTATCTGTTTGAATAATTTAATTAATTTATTGTAAATAATGTTCCAATGCCAACATAGCCTTAGTATTTTAACAGTTTAATCATCATAATCATTATAATAAAACCATATAATTTATTATTATAGGCCTTCTAGTAATATAGATCTACATAAAAATATTAACATAATAATAACAGTAATAATAATAAAAATTCCCCTATAATAATAATTATTATTATTATTTTATTATGTATTATTATTATAATAAGGAAACGGGAAAATAATAATCGAATAATTTAAAATAATAACTATCATACAAAACTTACCTTTCTGTGAGTAGGTCTGAATGTATCCAGATCCAACGACTGGCTGGTAGCTTCACAGATATTTGTAAGTCGTTCCATTCTGGCTTCTTCCACTGTTGTGAAACCGAAAGTAGAAATAACTGGCCAAACTGAAGATTCACGAATAGTAGTGGGCAACCTCTCGTAAGTTATTTTGAAGGCTGAAGTGAAGGCGTTGTGTACAGGGTAAATCATAGACCAACGTTGTTTAAGTCCACACAGTCCTGCTAGAATATCTTCTGCATTTCTCAACAGGGGTAAGAACCGTTAGTCCGACATTCCGAGACATGGTCGATTTTATACTAAACTCAACCGTTTCCCCACGCCAAGTGTCACCAGGGAAGAAGCTATACTGACACCGGAACAATGGCTACGTGCCGGCGCTCTCAACCAATCAGCGCTCGGCCTGGAGTATCGGCACGCGCCGGTGCATACCGTCAGAGCAGATGGAGGATCGCGGGCCCGCGTGCGCGACCTGAAGCGAGGACTTTATTGCTTTTTTAATTGTCCGATATCAGCGATTGAGAGGCCGACCTCGTTTACCGGTGCGCCATATGTGGAGTGGAACTGTTTGATAAACACGCCAGGATTTCAGCTATTATTTACCTTTCGTAAGTTTAAATACCGCTGTCTTTTCACCAACACACTGATTCCATCGTTCGGTGGGCCTATGTTGAGTGAAAAAGACAGGTGGGGAAAAAAAAACAAGGGAGTGTTACTGACCTTATGTTAGCTAGATCTAGATCTAGCTGTATTCCTGAGATTTATGTTACACAAAAGATTTTCTGTCGTCATCACTTTTTCAAAGTCGGTCTCTCTCTCTCTCTCTCTCTCTCTCTCTCTCTCTCT